GGGGGACTAGGATGGGGAGGACGCAGGGGAGTCTGGGGGTACGCGGATAGGGGAGGATGCGGGGTGAATCGGGGGGGCACGGAGCGGGGACTAGGATGGGGAGGACGCAGGGGAGTCTGGGGGTACGCGGATAGGGGAGGATGCGGGGTGAATCGGGGGGGCACGGAGCGGGGACTAGGATGGGGAGGATGCAGGGGAGTCTGGGGGTACGCGGATAGGGGAGGATGCGGGGTGAATCGGGGGGGCACGGAGCGGGGACTAGGATGGGGAGGATGCAGGGGAGTCTGGGGGTACGCGGATAGGGGAGGATGCGGGGTGAATCGGGGGGGCACGGAGCGGGGACTAGGATGGGGAGGACGCAGGGGAGTCTGGGGGTACGCGGATAGGGGAGGATGCGGGGTGAATCGGGGGGGCACGGAGCGGGGACTAGGATGGGGAGGATGCAGGGGAGTCTGGGGGTACGCGGATAGGGGAGGATGCGGGGTGAATCGGGGGGGCACGGAGCGGGGACTAGGATGGGGAGGATGCAGGGGAGTCTGGGGGTACGCGGATAGGGGAGGATGCGGGGTGAATCGGGGGGGCACGGAGCGGGGACTAGGATGGGGAGGACGCAGGGGAGTCTGGGGGTACGCGGATAGGGGAGGATGCGGGGTGAATCGGGGGGGCACGGAGCGGGGACTAGGATGGGGAGGATGCAGGGGAGTCTGGGGGTACGCGGATAGGGGAGGATGCGGGGTGAATCGGGGGGGCACGGAGCGGGGACTAGGATGGGGAGGATGCAGGGGAGTCTGGGGGTACGCGGATAGGGGAGGATGCGGGGTGAATCGGGGGGGCACGGAGCGGGGACTAGGATGGGGAGGACGCAGGGGAGTCTGGGGGTACGCGGATAGGGGAGGATGCGGGGTGAATCGGGGGGGCACGGAGCGGGGACTAGGATGGGGAGGATGCAGGGGAGTCTGGGGGTACGCGGATAGGGGAGGATGCGGGGTGAATCGGGGGGGCACGGAGCGGGGACTAGGATGGGGAGGATGCAGGGGAGTCTGGGGGTACGCGGATAGGGGAGGATGCGGGGTGAATCGGGGGGGCACGGAGCGGGGACTAGGATGGGGAGGACGCAGGGGAGTCTGGGGGTACGCGGATAGGGGAGGATGCGGGGTGAATCGGGGGGGCACGGAGCGGGGACTAGGATGGGGAGGATGCAGGGGAGTCTGGGGGTACGCGGATAGGGGAGGATGCGGGGTGAATCGGGGGGGCACGGAGCGGGGACTAGGATGGGGAGGATGCAGGGGAGTCTGGGGGTACGCGGATAGGGGAGGATGCGGGGTGAATCGGGGGGGCACGGAGCGGGGACTAGGATGGGGAGGACGCAGGGGAGTCTGGGGGTACGCGGATAGGGGAGGATGCGGGGTGAATCGGGGGGGCACGGAGCGGGGACTAGGATGGGGAGGATGCAGGGGAGTCTGGGGGTACGCGGATAGGGGAGGATGCGGGGTGAATCGGGGGGGCACGGAGCGGGGACTAGGATGGGGAGGATGCAGGGGAGTCTGGGGGTACGCGGATAGGGGAGGATGCGGGGTGAATCGGGGGGGCACGGAGCGGGGACTAGGATGGGGAGGACGCAGGGGAGTCTGGGGGTACGCGGATAGGGGAGGATGCGGGGTGAATCGGGGGGGCACGGAGCGGGGACTAGGATGGGGAGGATGCAGGGGAGTCTGGGGGTACGCGGATAGGGGAGGATGCGGGGTGAATCGGGGGGGCACGGAGCGGGGACTAGGATGGGGAGGATGCAGGGGAGTCTGGGGGTACGCGGATAGGGGAGGATGCGGGGTGAATCGGGGGGGCACGGAGCGGGGACTAGGATGGGGAGGACGCAGGGGAGTCTGGGGGTACGCGGATAGGGGAGGATGCGGGGTGAATCGGGGGGGCACGGAGCGGGGACTAGGATGGGGAGGATGCAGGGGAGTCTGGGGGTACGCGGATAGGGGAGGATGCGGGGTGAATCGGGGGGGCACGGAGCGGGGACTAGGATGGGGAGGATGCAGGGGAGTCTGGGGGTACGCGGATAGGGGAGGATGCGGGGTGAATCGGGGGGGCACGGAGCGGGGACTAGGATGGGGAGGACGCAGGGGAGTCTGGGGGTACGCGGATAGGGGAGGATGCGGGGTGAATCGGGGGGGCACGGAGCGGGGACTAGGATGGGGAGGATGCAGGGGAGTCTGGGGGTACGCGGATAGGGGAGGATGCGGGGTGAATCGGGGGGGCACGGAGCGGGGACTAGGATGGGGAGGATGCAGGGGAGTCTGGGGGTACGCGGATAGGGGAGGATGCGGGGTGAATCGGGGGGGCACGGAGCGGGGACTAGGATGGGGAGGACGCAGGGGAGTCTGGGGGTACGCGGATAGGGGAGGATGCGGGGTGAATCGGGGGGGCACGGAGCGGGGACTAGGATGGGGAGGATGCAGGGGAGTCTGGGGGTACGCGGATAGGGGAGGATGCGGGGTGAATCGGGGGGGCACGGAGCGGGGACTAGGATGGGGAGGATGCAGGGGAGTCTGGGGGTACGCGGATAGGGGAGGATGCGGGGTGAATCGGGGGGGCACGGAGCGGGGACTAGGATGGGGAGGACGCAGGGGAGTCTGGGGGTACGCGGATAGGGGAGGATGCGGGGTGAATCGGGGGGGCACGGAGCGGGGACTAGGATGGGGAGGATGCAGGGGAGTCTGGGGGTACGCGGATAGGGGAGGATGCGGGGTGAATCGGGGGGGCACGGAGCGGGGACTAGGATGGGGAGGATGCAGGGGAGTCTGGGGGTACGCGGATAGGGGAGGATGCGGGGTGAATCGGGGGGGCACGGAGCGGGGACTAGGATGGGGAGGACGCAGGGGAGTCTGGGGGTACGCGGATAGGGGAGGATGCGGGGTGAATCGGGGGGGCACGGAGCGGGGACTAGGATGGGGAGGATGCAGGGGAGTCTGGGGGTACGCGGATAGGGGAGGATGCGGGGTGAATCGGGGGGGCACGGAGCGGGGACTAGGATGGGGAGGATGCAGGGGAGTCTGGGGGTACGCGGATAGGGGAGGATGCGGGGTGAATCGGGGGGGCACGGAGCGGGGACTAGGATGGGGAGGACGCAGGGGAGTCTGGGGGTACGCGGATAGGGGAGGATGCGGGGTGAATCGGGGGGGCACGGAGCGGGGACTAGGATGGGGAGGATGCAGGGGAGTCTGGGGGTACGCGGATAGGGGAGGATGCGGGGTGAATCGGGGGGGCACGGAGCGGGGACTAGGATGGGGAGGATGCAGGGGAGTCTGGGGGTACGCGGATAGGGGAGGATGCGGGGTGAATCGGCCAGCCTCCAAGCCAGAAACATCCCTCCTGGCGAGGAAGCACACGGGCTCACATCGAGCCTGGCAAACCACAAACCAAAGCACAGAAAGGAGGGGCAGGTACTAGCCTCTATGGATGCTGGAGGGATGGGGAGATGCAACCAGCAAACTCCAGCCAGAGTGGAGCTCAGGTGCTAACACTGAATCCAGAGCAAACTCCTGCCTTTCTGCTTTCCTGTGCCAAGTCCAGTGCAACCAGAATTCAGATATCACCCTCCCCTTATATGCCCCATCCAGGAAAATACACCAGATCCTACCACAGCATGATAGTCTCCTTCTACTGAATAGTAATAGGGAGGTAGCCATCTTAGTTTTTCTTTTTGTTTTAGCAAGATCAAACTATGTAGCACTTTGAAGACTAACAAGATGGTTTAATAGGTGATGAGCTTTTGTGGGCCAGACCCACTTCCTCAGATAATATTCTGGAAGAGAATTGGCATGACCATATATACCAAAGGAATACAATGAAAAAAACGAACACATTAAACTGACAAATCAGATTTAGTACAGAAAATGGGGTGAGGGAGAGGGAGGGAGGGAATAGCTATTTATGAATCAATGAATGGCTAATCAGGGGTGATAAGTGGGGAAGCTAGCTCTGTAATGGGTAAGGTAATTAGCATCTTTGTTAAGGCCCATTGGTAAAGCATCAAATTTAAGCATGAATGAAAGTTCTGAAGTTTCCCTTTATAATCTGGTGTTAAAGTCTCTTTGAAGTAAGATGCATGTAGTAAGGTTGTTAAGACTGTGTCCAGGTAGGTTGAAATGAAAAGCAACTGGTTTTTCCTTGTGAAGAGGTCTGATTTGTGGGCATTAATTCTTTGGCGAAGTGGACAGACTTCTCAGACACAGAATCACGGTGTACACACCCCTCAGTCCTTTCTTGACTAACGGGATAGGGTGTGATGGAAAAAGGCAAACAATGGCATTGACTCTTGTCAATAGCAGTATGAGGAAAGATATGGCTTGACTATGCATCACAGGGATATTGGCATCAGTAAAAAACTGTAGTTAAAGATGAACGCAACTAAGTAATTCATCCTGACACCTCTCACCCCCCAGTGCTGCAGTTTCCATGAACAGGGTTTGAAACAAAATATCAGCTACTAGAAAAAGTTTAGTAACATGGGGCCTTTTGAAGTCATCGCTAAACTCTAAATTACATTTTTCATCCACAAACTGCTATAGAAAAATCAAGTAAAGCAGAAGCTAAAATGAACCTGTAAGAATTACACTGTAACCCGCAAGGTCATTTCTGTAGACTGTTTTCACAGCTGTTGAAATAGAATCTGACCTCAGGTACTCCTACTCCACCCTTACATTGTGTCGTATTAGGGTCAGGGGTGTAGATGACTATACGTTTAGCCGATAACCCTAGGTTTATCGACTAATCCTGTCACCTACTCACATTCCCCCCTTTGCTGCCTTTGTATCAGAGGCAGTGGGGGGGGGGGGCCAGAGCCCAGGACCAGCTGGCTTTAAGCAGCCCCCCCCCC